TTCTAAAAATATCATTGTATTATTGTTTAGCTCTCATCTGTGACGGACTCATGACGGTAAGGATGTAAGGTCATCCGTACATTATCCTCATTATCCTACAGTGTATCTGCTCCTGCCTTTGTTCTGCTCCCCCCAGAAGCCCCCGCACTGTCCCAGCGGTAAACTGCGTCCGCAGCCAGACGACCTTGCTAATGTTTTCCTTCCTAAAGAGGATTACCAGCCCGGGCTAAAGCTGCACATCTGAGCTGTCAATGAATGTGTGAAGTGTGAATGACGATGATAGCGGGAGGTTCTGTTCTGTCAGGGAAACACTACAGCTAACAGGAAACACTTAACGGTAAATTAGCTTAAAATTAATTAATCGTTATAATTGCATTAGGCATTTATGATTAATTGCATTAGTTTGTGGTCAGTTGTGATCACCTACATTAGCTTGTGTAGGCATTTGTGATTAATCACACCAGCCTGTGTAGTTAATCATGATCATTCACATCAGCCTGTGTTGATAATCGTGACTATTCGCACCAGCCTGTGCTGTTAATCGTGATTATTCATATCAGCCTGTGTTGTTAATCGTGACTATTCACATCAGCCTGAGTAGTTAATAGTGTCTATTCACATCAGCCTGAGTAGTTAATAGTGTCTATTCACATCAGCCTGTGTAGTTAATCATGATTATTCACATCAGCCTGTGTAGTTGATCGTGATTAATTGCATCAGCCTGTGTTGTTAATCATGACTATTCACATGTGCCTGTTTTGCTAATTGTGATTATTCACATCAGCCTGTGTTGTTAATCATGATTATTTGCATCAGCCTGTGTAGTTAACTGTTATTAATTGCATCAGTCTGTGTATTTTAATTGTGATTATTTGCATTTGTTAATGCTTCCAGAAAGAATAGTATTAGCTTGTGTAATCAATTGCAACCAATCACTATAGTATACGTAGCCAATTGTGTTTAATTGCATTAGTTGTAGTGAAACATGATTAATTGTAATAGTTTATGCACTGAACTGTGATTAATTACATTTGTTTGTGCAGTTAACCCCTTAAAATCACAGGCTTATTCCATAGTAAGACTTATTACTTAGTAACTACAGGGACTTCAATGCAAACTGAGTTATAGAAGTGTGTAATAAAAGTTCTGTCCAGGTCCTAGAGTGCTAATCAATGGGAGAACCCGCTTTGCTATGTCTATCTAGATACCACAGAGAGAAATAAATCCTGATTGGCCATATTTTCGGCGTTTAAAGAATTGAACCCTTTTGTTTCCATCCATGAAATAAGAGTAGCACTGTGATACTTGCAGAGTTTAAATACAAGCATTTTATTGAATAAATGGACATGTATTCTTTAGTACCCAGAAATCAATAGGCCTTCTCTGAAGGCCCAGAAGGCCCTGAGGGTTCCCCTGTAGAAATATCTGTTATCAAGAGAGTCACTACTGGAACATTTAAAAGCTGCATTTGAGCGAGGGGGCTGCAGCCGCAGAGTCATAGCAAGAGCTTCAGAGAGAAACTACGATAATCAATAAATCAAATGCTCTGACAATAAAGAAAAAATCGTTATCTGTGGAGGCCACTGGACTGTAAAAACCCTGTCCAGTCATTTCATTTGGCCAGGACGAAATGACTGGATGGCCTACCTGCCTGTCTACTTGCCTACCTCACGACATGTACTCTGCATGTGTACTCATTTGTGCATGGAGTGCGCATGCGCACACACACACACACATACACACACACACACATACACACACACACACACACACACACACACACAGCTCAAAGGTAACAAGCTACTTTCACAAGAATGGCAGAGAAAGTTACACAGGTACCTACAACAGCTTGCGCTGCTAAAGAAAGGAAGAAAAGAAAGACAGAAGTAGAAAAGGCTTTGAACAGAAAGAGGTTGGATAAAGCAGGCGTCAAACCAGAGTGAACATTGGTGTGACTTTCAGTGAACTTTGGCGAAACTTGAAGGAGTTGAATTCCCTGGAATGTGACTCCAAGGTTGCTATTTTTCTGTTGGACAGGTAATTATCTGGTTTGTTTTGTTTTGTTTGTTATCTGGTTTGTTGTGGGGGAATTTGTTATTTTCCTGAAGTATGTAGCCAACATAGCTAGCTACTTTTGCAGCTACATCATGTATTAGCCCAATGCTAATGTAAGCACACAGCTGAAATCAGCTTCTCATTTGCCAGCTTCTTCCCTTTCCACCTTAAATGGTGCAGGCACAAGAATGTAACTGCTGCATCATTTAAGGTGGAATGGGAAAATGTGAACAAAAAGCCAGCAAATAGGAAGCCAACTTGAGACTTGTAATGTTAGCTAAGCTGTGAGCTAGCTAGCTATGTTTATCTTGTATGTAATCTGTGTGTGTATGTTCTACGATGTCTGCATTGCAGTGTTGAGAAAGTGTGATTTGATGGTATTTATCTTATGCCTTTGAACGACTCCAACACTCTGGGGTCAGGCCATGTGTGTTCATGTGTTTTGGTGGAGTGGCTTTGGAAGTAGGGCTGAAAGTGGAGGGTGGGATTTTTTCAGTTTAATTTCATCAAAAACTAGCTTACACTTTCTGGTTTCTACAGAAATCACCCACTCCAGCTTCAATAATGTATCTTTGTAGCGCATTATTAACACTTTGTAATTGACACCACTACTTAAGACAGAGTGTGCTGTAGCATCACCTACAGCACACTCTGTCGCTTTTTTAACCCATTTTTAAAAATCTGCTGTTCTGACTTTCACTTCTTAAGCTGTATAAGTCTCTTGTTTGAAACACTTCAAAGGACAAATGTCTGGGCCTCGGCGTCAGGGATGCTGGGAGGACACGGCGGCCGCTAACGTGATTTACGCTTTATCTCACCTTGGCCAGCTCCACAGTGTCCTGTCCATTTCACACATCTACACATCCAGCAGCACTGACTACAGACCCAAAACAAACAGACAGAGATGTATCTCTGCAGAGAGATTTATATCTCGGCATGTGCAGGGCAAGCGTTGTGAAAGTGGCGCACAAAAAGGACGGCATCTGGAATCTACACTGCACGGCCACTTCATTAGAAACACCTCCCTTGTAGCTCCACTTTGTAGAGACTGTAGCTCATCTGTCGAAGCACAGTTTGTATTAGCCCAGATGTTGGCAACATGTGGCTTTTTCACTGCCCTGTTGTGGCTCCACAGCAGAATTAAATCTTTTATACAGAATTAGATTATATTAATAAAGCTCTGCTGATCATTCTGACAGTTTTTACAATAAATGTTCTTAAATGCTGGAGTAATGTAATGCACAACTGCTGATTCACCCTTTAACCCTAAAGACTGCTGGTCACCATAGCAATGCAGACAACAATCTCACGTAGCTCGTAGCTAACGAAAAGGCAAAGAGAAAGATTTAAGGCGAACATCGATAATTTGGAGACGAATGGACTTATTTACATTTATAATCACTCCAGCTGGTTTCCTGATACGTTTAATCTGCAACGAGAAACTGTCAAACACTAAAAAGTCACGAAGCTGCAGTCAGTTTCTTATTCGAATTGTCCAGTTCCACCTTAAATGGTGCAGCAGTTACATTCTGGCACCATTTAAGGTGGAACAGGAAAATTCAGACAAGAAGCTGGAGAATGAGAAGCGACTTCAGCCTCATAAAAAGTTGAGCATTAAGAAACATTTTACAAGAAACCGTTCTACTTTTGAGGAAAAGTTTCCTGCTGGAGATGCGAGAAAAGCAGCTATAGCTGAGCTAAAGCGTAAAGCAGATCAGAGTAAGTCTGCATTTTCATTTATATTATATTTCTACCCTATAATAGGACATCAGCACATACCGAGACATATTTACAGCTAAGATGGTAAAATGGACATAAAATGTTGTGCATCCCACGGTGGTTTGATTTTTGTTGAAAGGATAAAATGGCTTTTCTTAACATTTGTTTTGCCGACCCCTGTATTAGCCATTGCCTTTTATCAGTGGTCAGTTTCTGACCACCAAACAACTCTTGGCTGGATATTTTTAGGCAGTGGATCACTTTTAACTCAGCAGAGACGCCGAAGGAGAACTTTATAATACTTTTAAAATGAGAAAATTATTAGGAGACTGAAACTATGAAAACAGCAGCTAAATCTATATCATCCCCCGTGTGTGCAAATAATATTCCCATTTCAATTCGGTTCCAGCTGATTCACTCGCTGAGCAGCTCAACTCATAACTGAGATTTATATTGCAATTTTAAAGTGAGAGTTTAGAGGAGAATGAAATCTGCACTATTGACCTCTTATACCAAATGCTTTAAATCAGACATGTTTGGTGCCTGAATTTTGCTTCTTCATGCCTCAATCCTGGGTTTTGCCCCCAGTCCAATTAAATCCAATCCAGTCTAAGTACTTACATGTTAAAGGAGAATTCCACCAATTTTTCTGACTTTCCACGTAATTAAATGGTTAAGATGCAAACAAAGTCATTCAGAGTGGTTTGGTGTAAAATGCCATAAAATGGTCCTAGAGGACATTGCAGAGTCAGAGTTGTTCATAATGGTGGTGATAGGAACCAGATGTCCACCTCTGAAAGCTCCCTCACAGAAAGTTACTGCATGAAGTGGCTATGAATTCACTGCCTGATGTCTGAGACACTGTTTTATGACAGTTTTGAACGGATTTCGGCCTAAAATCCATGTCAGAAAGGTACATGCAGGGTGTAAGGCTATACAGCCCCCTAAAACTTATTTTTTTCATATTTATCACTATTTTCCATCATCAACATTCCATATAAACTCAGAAGACTCGTGTAGGTTCACTGGTGGTTTTGGATAGCAAATAAAATGTCTATATTTGTGTTGTAGACATGCCGACCCCTGGTTCCTATCACCACCACTGTAAAGGAACGTATAAATTTCTCTATATTTTAAGAATATATCTATGCAGACATTTGAAAAGTTAGTGAATGTTACTGTATATTTATGTGAGGAGGCTGTGAGGTGTGTGGTTGTGCCAGTACCAGGTCCGGTGGCGCGGGAATTTGGGCTCCGTCAGGATCTCTTTGACAGACATGACGTCACCGGGGATGATGGGATAGAACTCGCAGAGGGAGGCCTCCTCATCACTGTGAAATGCACAAACAAGATGTGAGTAAACAAAATGTGCAACTGTCATAGAGACACTGAGGAGTCCACACACATGCTTTTCGTTCATGTGTGGAGCGGCACAGACAAAAGTGTCCAGACGCTCAAGGAATAGTCTGGCGGAAAATCAAATTTACACAATTTTCCACTTTTCCCAGAAGTATTCAGTCGGCTGAGACGTGTTGGGAGTTGGCTTCTTTAGTTTAGCACTGCAGCAACAAGTTGCTAGCAAACACTAGAATCAACAGTCACCCAAATTCTTTCTGTAAATACATCCTCAAAACATCTCTCAAACCTCTCAAACCACATCCAGGCTTTCATTAAAGTGCATAGAGTTGTTGCTGTGGTTCAGCTTTCAAACACCAGGGCTGGTATTCACAAAGCAGGACTGACCTTGGATCAAATTCCTTTGCGTTTATGATACTTATTGTCACAGAAGCTGATTCTAGATCAGCACTCTGACACCTAAGGTGGTGAATACAGACCCTGTTGCCTAAAGTGGCTGCCCTCAGTTTTGTTCACTTTTTTAGTAAGTCATACTGTGTCCAAAACCACATCGACTGTTCAGCGTGACCTTAATGAAGATCTGGACGTGGTTTGAGAATGTTGAGAAAAGTTTTGGTGATGTATTTTTACAAAAAATGATTCGGGCGATTTGGGTGACTATTGAGTTAAAGTGTTTGCTAGCTTTATAGCTCCAGTTCTAAACTAAAGAAGCAAAATTTGGACTCCAAGCATGCATTGGCTCGTCCTTTACAACTGAGGCAAGTGGAAAATTGTTTAAATTTTACTTTTTTTACTGAACCATTCCTATAAGGTGCACCTGTTGGTGATAAATATGTTCAGTTGTGCACACAGCTTTAATCTCTATAAAAAACACTGACCAATAGAGTGGGATGCTATGGAGCACACATGAGGTGCACCTATGCCCAATGCTAAGCGTGGGCTAGAGGGGTATAAAGCCTCCCAACATGTAACAGCAGTGGAACTGTGTTCTCTGGAGTGATGGACCTCCATCCAATACCTTTCGGATGAGTTGGAGTGATCCAGAACTGACCATCCAACATCAGTACCTGACCTCACTAATGCTCAATCAAATCCTCACAGCAATGTTCCAACATCTAGTGTAAAGCTGTCCCAGAAGAGTAGAGGCTGTTACTGCAGCAATGAAGGACAAGCTCCATATTAAAGGAGTTATGTAGACACATTCTACATTTTTCTTGTATTTAATTTTTTCCTGTGAGGGTTAATTATGATATTTGTGATGTTTTATGCATAAAATTCATTTTCCATGACCATTTCTTACCTCTTTTTTCTTTAACATTAACCAGGTTGTTTTTGTTACTGTGCCTTTAAGACTGATATATGTAAATGAGCTCTGGAGGATCAGGTGTCCACAAACGTTTGGCCATTTATTACAGTGTTTATGTTAGTGGAATGACAATGACTGATTCATGCTGATGTTGGACCATCACTCATTTTCTTACTCTTAGACACAATAAATCAGTCCTAATGCTGTTTCAGCATGCAGGCCATGCACTGTCCTGCAGCTGACCAGTAGAGGGAGCTGTATCTTTAACCTGAACTCTGACCGTTAGGGGTTTGGCTGGCCTGGAGCTCCAGGATCTGGTGTTTCTTAAAGGTGGCTGTTGTGTAAAAGACTGATGACTTTCTTAATGAAATATGAAAGTGTGTGAAGTTGTTAGTGGGTCTGAAAAAGCCAAGGCCACACAGACTGTTCCTGCTTCTGTAATTCATAGAGTAATTCATCTTCATACTGCTGCTAAAGAGAGAGAGAGAGAGAGAGAGAGAGAGAGAGAGAGAGATGGGGGGGGATATGATGTTTTGACTGCAACTCTGATTCACAGTGATCTTTTGCCACATAATATATATTTTTATTCACTGTATTGATTTGTATTGTATTGGTGTGTGTTGTATTGCACTGCACTGTATTATATTGTATTGTAATATACTGTACTGTATTGTGTTGCACTGCATTGTGTTTTGTGTTCTACTCCACTATACTGTACTGTACCCTACTGTATTTTATATTGTGTTATTGTATTAAATTGTACTGTACTGTATTATATTGTACTGCACTGTTATGTTATTGTATTGCATTGTATTGTACTATAATGCACTATACTGTACTGTATTCTACTGCATTGTACTGTACCATACTGTACTGTATTGTACCAGACTGTACTGTACAGTATTGCACTATACTGTACCGTACTATGTTGTATTGCATTGCATTGCACTGTAGTGCACTATACTATACTGTATTCTATTGTACTGTACTGTCTTTTATTGCATTTTACTACACTGCATTGTATTGTATTGCATTATACTGTACTGTATTCTACTGTACTGTACTGTAATGCACTGTACTGTCTTTTATTGCATTTTACTACACTGCATTGTATTGTATTGCATTATACTGTACTGTATTCTACTGTACTGTACTGTAATGCACTATACTGTACTGCATTGTATTGTACTGTATTGTACCATACTGTACTGTATTGTCCTGTACTATACTGTATTATATTGTACTGTGTACTGTATTTTACCGTACCACACTTATTGTACTGTACTGTATTGTACTGTACTGTATTACTACACTGTACTGTACTATATTATAGTGTACCATACCGTACTGCGTCATACTGTATTATACTGTACTGTATAGTATACTGTAATGTATTGTAGTGTATTATATGGTACTGTATTACTACACTGTACTGTACTGTACTGTATTACTACACTGTACTGTACTATATTATAGTGTACCATACCGTATTGTGTCATACTGTATTATACTGCACTGTATAGTATACTGTAATGTATTGTAGTGTATTATACAGTACTGTATTACTACACTGTACTGTACTGTATTGTACTGTACTGTATTACTTTTCTGTATTGTATTGTTTAGTACTTTACTGTATAATAGTAAAAGTTGGTACCATCATAGTACCAATCTCACACAATAGTGGCAAACAAACCAGCACTTCTCACTCAGTAATAAGAGTGAATTGTGGTATCAGCAGAGCGTGAGGTGATTTAGCGGCTTGGCACCGCGGCGCTCTGACAATGCAGAGTCTCATTCACACTTGAGCCCACGAAGGCCCTTCTAACACCCAGCAGATGCCAGGGAGGATCTGAAAGGGATCAGTGCTGCATGGACTCATTGTCTCTATTTAAATTTTTCTCACATACTTACAGGCCCGCTTCCCTTTTCTCCCTGAATTTCGTTAGTAAATCAGGAAGCTAAACAGGTCCCCAGCTACGGAAAAAGGGAAACGAGTCCAATTTGGCCTAAGGGAGGAGAATCTGGGAGCTTGAGTGTCGGACTGTGGGCTCCTGCTGATACGGTCTGTTTCATTCAGCCCTGCAGTCTGCTGTATAACAAGATTCATAAACCATATTAGAGCTTCCTATATAGTTTTCTGCTCAAAAAACCTCCAGCCAACAGTGCATTTACGTCTGCCTGAAAAGTGACTGACGGGTCTCCTGACCAATCAGATGCCAGCTGATGTGTCTATGCATTGCATTTTTTCATTGCCCCTGTTGCAAAGCTGGACAAGCTTTACAGAGAGCTGGTGGAAAGAGAGATTAGTCACTACACAATGTTGAGTTTCCAGTTTAAAATGTTATGTTACCAAGCTGGACTGTGATGTTGATGCCAGTCGAAACTAGGCAGGTCAGAAAAGACAGTACATATCGCTGTTGTCGGAACAAAACCTCGTGTCTCCAAAATGGCAACTTTACAGGAGAAGGGAAAAACCTACTTCACTTTTAATGTAAGTCAATGGAACCAGACTTTTCCCCAAGTCATTTTGGGCCGTTTCTTTTGGTCTGTTCATCATTAAAAACTGAAAAATGACAAAAATGGAAATATGAGGTTTTCTTTCAACAGCAGCGATTTGCTACCTTGCGAACGTTAGCACTGTGAAAAACTATATCTGATCTAAAAGTGCATAAAAAGAATGCAGTTTAAAAATAAAGGAATAGTGCAGCAAAAATTTTACTCAGTTTAACCCCAGATGTAGTCGATCAGCGAAGATATGCTCAGAGTTCAAATATTATTTCTTTAGTTTAGAGCTACAGCCACAGGGCTAATGTAGCTAACAAACACTAGAAGTCAATAGTCACCCAAATAGCCCAAATCATTTATGTAAAAATACACCCCTAAAACTTCATTCAACCCACTCAGACCACATCCCGCTCTTGCTAATGTGGTTTAGACCACAGTACGATATTATGCAGTGTATTGTATTGTATTGTATGATATTGAACTGAATTGTCTCATATTGTACTTTACTGTATTGTATTGCATTGGATTATATTTACACTTAGACAGCAGATAACAGAGTCATAGGACCATCTCAATAAATAACACCAAATAAACCGACGCTTGTTACTTAGTCTTAACAGTTAATTGCTACCAAACACTTGAACTCAACAGTCACCAAAATAGTCCAGGTTGCAAGTGTGGTTTAGACCACAGCATGACAGACTTCATATGCAGTCTGTACTGACCAGACACTTTATTACGTTTCCACCTTGTCTCTACACTCATTGTCCATTTTATCAGCTCCACTGACCATATAGTAGCACTTCGTAGTTCTACAGTTACAGACTGTAGTCCATCTGTTTCTCTGCATACTTTGTTACCCTGTTCTTCAATGGTCAGGACCCCCACAGAGCAGGTACTATTTGGGTGGTGGGTCATTCTCAGCACTGCAGTGACACTGACATGGTGTCGGATTGTTAGAGTGTGTTGCGCTGGTGCGAGTGGATCAGACACAGCAGCGCTGCTGGAGTTTTTAAACACCTGCTGGACTGAGAATCAAAAATACCCAGCCAACAGCGTCCTGTGGGCAGTGTCCTGTGACCACTGATGAAGGACTAGAAGATGACCAACACAAACTGTGCAGCAGCAGATGAGCTATCGTCTCTGACTTTACATCTACAAGGTGGACAAACAAGGTAGGAGTGTCTAATAGAGTGGACAGTGAGTGGACACAGTGTTTAAAAACTCCAGCAGCACTGCTGGAGCACTGCTGAATTATTTCGTGACCTGTCTTGTGCACTACATAGAAAACAGAGAGCCATTTGATATTTAGCCTCAGTAAGTGCTCTGATCCTCTGATAAAGCACATGTGGCTACACGTGACCGATATTAAAGGTCATTCTTCTTCACGCCTGTCAGACCACACCTTTAAACACTGCACATCTCAGATTACACTCACAGATCGCACAGCTCACTGAGCGATCGCGCCTCACTTCTATTACTTATTTACATGTGTTTAACAAACAGACTGACCAGCTAAGATCTTGAACTGATTCATTTATTTAGTTATTTATCTCAAGATATATTATTTAGTGTCCAATATGAATTATTCAGCAACTACTATGAATTATTAGGTAACTATTACGAATGATTCAGTAATGACATTATTTAGTAACTACTACAAATTATTCATTAATTAAATTATTCAGAACATACTATATATGCATTATTTACCTTCTGATTCATGCTTAATTCACCGAGTCAAACAAGGGCTTCTGAAAGCCACAGTTACTTGGTTCAGGTTTAGTAGATTAGGCTTAGATATGATATCATATATATTAATACAATCTGATGTCAGTGGTGTTACTCCTGGAACATTAAATGATTTTACAATTGTTGTAAAATAACAGCATAAATGCAATATTTCTTCTTTTTTCTACACACAATGTGACAGTGTAAAACTAAACTGGCGCTAGAATATGTTTTAGAAAAGCTCAGATTTCTGTCATTTTTTCAGTGGTGTTACAGTCAGGGTATTATGGTCAGCAGTGTTACAGTTTGTGGTGGTACAATCAGTGGTGTTACAGTCAGTGGTATTACAGTTCACGGTGTTGCAGTCAGTGGTGTTATGGTCAGTGTTGTTACAGTCAGTGGTGATACAGTTAATGGTGGTACAGTTAGTGGTGCTGTGGTCAGTGGTGATACAGTTTGTGGTGTTACGGTCAGTGGTGCTGCAGTCAGTAGTGTGACAATCAGTGGTGTTATGGTCAGTGGTGTTACAGTCAGTGGTGCTGCAGTCAGCGGTGTTACACTCAGTGGTGTTACAGTTAGTGGTGCTGGAGTCAGTGGTGTTACAATTCATGGTGTTACAGTCAGTAGTTCTGCAGTCAGCGGTGTTACACTCAGTGGTGTTATGGTCAGTGGCACTGCAGTCAGAGGTGTTACAATCAGTGATGTTACAGTTAGTGGTGCTGTGGTCAGTGGTGATACAGTTAGTGGTATTACAGTTAGTGGTGTTACAGTCAGTGGTGTTACAGTTCATGGTGTTACAGTCAGTGGTGCTGCAGTCGGTAGAATGACAATCAGTGGTGTTATGGTCAGTGGTGCTGCACTTAGTGGTGTTACAGTCAGAGGTGTTATGGTCAGTGGTACTGCAGTCAGTGGTGTTACAGTCCATAGTGTTACATTCAGTGGTACTGCAGTCAGTGGTGTTACAGTCTGTGGTGTTACAGTCAGTGGTGTTACAACTTTACTGATATTGTTCAATATGTCAGATTATGTTTTACACTTGAATTACATCAACATTTGTACCTTCATTGCCACTGCAATGGTAGAATGACCCAAAAGCTACAAGTTTTGAGGAAAACATTTTAGGGAATGTTTTCATCCTTCTCCATCCTTTCATCCTACACACACACACACACACGCACACACACTCACTCACACACACACACATAATATGAACAAAGAGCTTCTTTTTAAGCTTGTAATGAATATAATCATTTTAATGTATAATAATTAGCCTGCAAGCTTATTCCTCTTTGTGTATAAACACATCATGGGACACAATGAAAGGGGAAACACAGGTCGTTCAACAACAGAGTCCAGTTACACTGAGACAGTTTCAGACAAAGACAGGTTTAGCCTGTAGTAACCGATCACTGTGTTATTAGTGAAGGTGTGGCGAAATTCACACCATCACGTTATTAAAAACAGAGCAACAGGTGGGAAAGGAGAAGTCTACCTGCTGATCTCACCAACACAGAGAAGTCAAAGTGGGCAAAACAAAACGAAAAAGGGAAGTTATGGCTGCTTTTCTTTGTAATGTAAGCTTTGTAAAGCGAACGGTTCGACACGAACATGTGGTCAGATTGGTTTACTATTGTTGCCAACATTCACTTTTCATCAGATGCTTAAGTACAGAAGAAGCCTGATAATTGACGGTATTTTCGGGGCTGTTTGCTTGGAACAATGGAAGCATTAACTGGCTTATTTGAAAGTAAGGTGAATAAAGTTCTCAGTCACACAACAACACCCAGATTAGCAGCAGCATGGAGACTAACAGAGGCCTGCAGCGCCTGAGTCCAATTTCCTAAACATCTACAGAGTAAATAAGAAAAGGCTTGAAGAAAAAGTCAAGTGAGTTTCACAAAAACTTAATTGTTTTTATAAATTATTTCCATAAAATCTCACCTGTGCTTTTACAAACCCTTAAATAACGCAAAAGTTTGTGTTGCTGTGTCTTTAAAGAGACATTTGGCTGCTGCTCATCAGGGAAGATAGGACAGTTACCGGTTATAATGAGATACCACAGTGTAAAATCCAATAAAAATCACACCATTTCAAATTTTAATAATACTGATATTCATTTATGATCAGCATCATTTTAAAAAATGACTGTGGAAGCAAACAGCTCTCCTGCTGCCGTCTCCTGTAAAGAACGTGTCAACACAGCATGTTCACACAGGTAGAATCTGAACAGGAAACAGCAGCGGTGCTGGAGAAAATTCCTATTTACTCACATTGTAGTTGAATTCTTTAGTTGTAAACAAATACAAGAGGTTCAAGAAAACGTCTATGAATATTAGACATGAAATCAGATGATTTCAAGTTTTTGTCACTGATACTATGATGGGCCATTTTTGTAATGTCTCTGCTCACCATGAAGAAAATTGCTTTTCTTTTTTCTTTACATAAAATAAATTATTCAATAATGAATAGGAGACAAATTTCATCATATTGCCCACCTCTATGTAGCACAGCAGGATTCAGATACAGTCACACCGAAAAATACACTAAAGTGAGTGTGTGTGAGTGTGTGTGTGAGTGTGGTGTGTGTGTGTGTGTGAGTGTGTGGTGTGTGTGTGTGAGTGTGTGTGTGTGTGTGTGTGTGTGTGTGTGTGTGTGTGTGTGTGTAATCCATTTGAGCTGCTAAATCCAGTCTTTTATGTGAATTGAGGGTTCGACTTTGGCAGGAGGAAGAGTGTTACAGGGCTATTCACTCATGCAGGGTTAACCCAATAAAAACACAGCATGACTCTCCTGTTTCTCTGGTGATTCAGGGTATAAATATACATTGTGTGTGTGTGTGTGCGTGTGTGTGTGTGTGTGTGTGTGTGTGTGTGTGTGTGTGTGCGTGTGTGTACTGTTATAAATCTGCTCTCCAACAGGTGCCCCTGGGTAAATGTTTCACAACTCAGAATAACTCTAACTGCACCATGTCCTTGGTGTAACTTTGGTGTTACCATAACTGTGGTGAAGCCATGGTTTAACTGTGACGTATTGTGTTGTAATTGTGGTGTAGCTATGAAATTTCAATGGTGTAACTGTAGTGTAATGTGATTTAACTGTATTGTAGCCAGGGCATTACAGCAGTGCAACTGTGACCATGTTGTAATTGCGGTGAAATGTGATATAATTGTGGTGTAGCCATAGTATAACAATGGTGTAACTGTAGCCTAAACATTGTGTAACTGTAATGTAAGCATTGTATAACTGTGGTGTAACCATGGTGTAACTCTGGTGCAAGTATGGTGTAACTTTAATTTGAACATGGTGTAACTGTGGTGTAATGTTGACATAACTGTGGTGTAGCATGTTATAACAGTGGTGTAACTGTAGTGTAAACGTTATGTAACTGTGGAGTAACCATGGTGTAACTCTGGTGTAGATGTGTTTTAATTGTGATGTAGCCATTGCAATATCAATGGTGTAACTGTAGTGTCAACACTGTGTAACTGTAGTGTAAACATGGTGCAACTGTGGAGTAAACATGGTGTAACTGTGTTGTAGCCATGCTATAACAGTGATGTAGCTGTAGCCTAAACATTGTGTAACTATAATGTAAACATGGTGTAACTGTGGTGTAACCATGGTGTAACTCTGGTGTAAGTATGGCGTACCTTTATTTTGAACATAGTGTAGATGTTGTGTAATTGTAATGTAGCCATTGTATATCAGTGGTGTAACCGTGGTGTAACTGGTCCTTGATGTAGTCATAATGCTTTTTCCACAAGCCTAATTACAAACAGTCTAATTGTTGCAGTGACTAAGTAATGAGCAGAGTAGCATGAAGGACGTGGCGTGACGTGTTAATTCAATTAGTTTATTTACATCTGTTTCCTGATGCATAATGGAATAATAACATTGTAATAATGACATAACAGTTTCATGTGCATGGTTCTTTCGCATTTTTAGGACTAAAACATCCTGAGTTTCAACAAAAACAGGAGTGAAGCACTGTGAGTGCACTTTACAAAAGCCTCACACAGCACATATACGGGACATACTGTATGTGTGAATGCATGTGTGTGAGTTTGTGTCCACACCTGGATTTGAACTTCTTCTTCTTGATTTGAGAGGACAGGGCCATGCTGTGAGACAGCTGCTCCTCCTGCTCCTCCTGGCAACGGTACGTTACTATTTTGGTTGCCATGGCGAACCTCTGACCAACACCTGCAGCAGAACAGAACAGCACAGCCGTCAGAAGGACGGACAGATGAAAGAGAGAGAGAGAGAGAGAGAGAGAGAGAGAGAGAGAGAATGTGTATACTATGGATTATTCAGTAAATAATATGTAACTAATGTGTAAGTTCTGTAATTATGACAGTGAGGAATCGAAGTGGCTCCTCACACAGAAACGTATGATCTAATGGTTTAAAGTGATATATAAATGTAACTGATCTCTTTTTGCACCTCTTAAATATTAAATCTTGAATTTGATTATTCTTTCATATTCCAGTCGCTGTAATCTGAGCTTTAGCAGAACAAATTGAACATTATTTGTCAGGCCAATAAAACATGAATCACTGATCTGAACAGACCTGAGACACAGACCAACAGAACAGGAGCACAGCGCTGTAACGCTGGACTGTAATGCAGTGGACACAGGGGTGGTCAAAGTGTGCCGTACAGCTTTGCTCATGTCTGTGAAAGACGACCCCACTGAGTTAAAGTGAAGAGTTTAATTGTATTATTACTGGAGCAAATGTCAGAATATAGCACTGACCACAGAGCACCTGGAGGACCTGAGAGAATATCAGCCTTATTACAGTAATACTGCTCTATAACCTCCACACCACTGAGAGAGAGAGAGAGAGAGAGAGAGAGAGAGAGAGAGAGAGAGAGAGAGAGACAGAAAAAATGAAAGTGAGACAAAGAGAGAGAGAAATAAGAGAGAGACAGAAAAGGGAGAGTGAGACAAAGAGAGAGAGGAGAGAGAGAGACAGAGCAGAGAAAGGAGAGTGCGACAAAGAGAGAGAGGAGAGAGAGAAGAGAGAGAGAAAGAGAAAGAGAGAAGAGAATAAGAATGCACAAGAAAGAGAGTGAGACAGAAGTGAGAGAGAGAGATACAGAAGCGAGAGAGAGAGACAGTGTGAGAGAGAGGAGAGAAGAAAGAACAAGAAAAAGAAAGAGAGCGAGATAGAAGTGTGAGAGAGAGACAAAGAGAGAGATAGAGACACACAGGGAGAGGAGAGAGAAAAAACTGTACAAATGGATAAAACTCTGAGCAACGGTGGGTTTTCAGAGGAAGAAAGGGAGAGAGAGAAGAGAGAACAAAAAAGAACGAGAGAGAGAGAGAGAACGAGAGAGAGAGAGAAAGAGAGAGAGAGAGAGAGAGAGAGAGAGAGAGAGAGAGAGAGAGAAGAGAGACAGAAAGAGAGACAGAGAGTGAGAGAGAGACAGAGAGAGACAGAGAGACAGTGAGAGAGAGTTGGGGGGGGTTAAGGAGGCAGAAAGCCCTGTAACCGTGTCCTCAGTGGCCGGTTGACTGAGTAATAATTCGTGTTTTGGGGTCTGCAGTGCTGCCGCTGCACTTTCCTCCTCATTACTCACTCACAGCAGATCCGGGACACTCGTGAGGAATGACTTCATTTACAGACGACTCGCAGCAGCCACCTGTGTTACCACCACAAACAGAGCATGTTTTACCCCCAGCCTCTCTGCAGATCATATCTGAGCACCAAACTGCCCCTTCTAATATAAACAGTGTGTGGGAGTGTGTGGATGGAGCAGAGCGAGGGGGTGGGGTGGGGTGCTGCTTTCCATACAAACGGGAAGAAAAAGAGCAACACACAGCGTGTTAAGATTGATCTGTCATTAAAATTGATCTGTCTGAGCAGCTAGAGGAAAATAAAGGAATTGAAGGCCCCTCTCTCTCTCACACACACACACACACACTCCACCAGGAGTAAAATAAATACTTTTTTGGGGAAGCTGTGTGTGTGTGTGTGTGTGTGTGTTGTGAGGATGGGGGGAATTGTGAAAAATAAGTCTATAAACTATGAGTGAAAAGAGTGTTTCATCATTTTGAGAAATAAATAAGCAGTAATGCCTCCACACAGAAGAGTGAGGAGTGTAGCCCCCTGAATCACCGCAGAGCTAAACCCCCCGCACTGCTGATGCTGCTCAGACAGGAGCACATTATAATACAGAAATACATTTCAGTGGACATTAAGAGCAAAATTTGCAAGTTTCACTGTCGGGTGAGTACAGCGTCTGAGAAAACTGTACAAACGGATAAAACTCTGAGCAATGGTGGGTTTCAGAGGAAGAAAGGGAATAATTAGCCAACAGAAAGTTGCTACATAGACTAAATAGATACATACACTAAATAGATAGACAGATAGACAGACAGACAGATAGATAAAACGAATTAGCTAGCTAGGTGGAAACGACAATAAGACAATTAGCATGTTAACTACATAGATAGATAGATAGATAGATAGATAGATAGATAGAAAAACAGTTAGCAAGCTTCATAGATAGATAGACAAATAAGACAATTACATAGACTAAATAAATAGAGAGATAGACAGACAGATAGACAAGACAGTTAGCTAGTTAGCTACATACAGAGATAGACAGACAAGACAATTAATTACAGAGACTAAACAGACAGATAGATAGACAGACAGGTAGACATACTCCCACTCCACTTACCCACACCCTCCATTCCCCCACTCCATTTACCCCCACCCTCCATACCCCTGACTCCACTGACCCCCACCCTCCATACCCCCACTCCACTGACCCCCAATGTTGCAAATGTCATTAGTTTACTAATTTGTATGGTTATAATTACAAACAGTGATAATAATAATAATACTGTAATATTATGATTATAATAATTAATATGGTTATTATTTATGTTCGTTCATTTATCTTATTCTGTTTTCATTACTGTTTTTGTTGTTCACTTCTTCTGTTGTGATGCTTTAGCAATACTGTACCTCACAGTCATGCTAATAAAGCTATTCTGAACTTAGATATATAGATAGATAGATAGACAGACAGACAGACAGGCTGAGAGATAGACAAGATAGCTAGCTAGCTTCATAAATAGACAGACAGACAGACAGACAAACAGACAAGACAAGACTAAATAGACAGACAGACAGACAGATAGATAGAAAAACATTAGCTAGCAAGCTTCATAGATAGATAGACAAACAAGACAATTACATAGACTAAATAAATAGAGAGATAGACAGACAGATAGACAAGACAGTTAGCTAGCTAGAGGACAAGACAGTTAACAACCTAGCTACATACATAGCCCAGATAGCAGACAGTTTTGGGCCAATTCTGGCTTTCTCACTTTACAATGTGTGGGCCAGATCTGGGTCGAGGACCCAGCCATATATTGGGCCAGAACGAACCAAGGATATGGCCCAGAAGTGGACCAGACAAATTTTGCTAACTGGGACAATTAACTACAGAGACTAAACAGTTAGACAGACAGATAGACAGACAGGTAGACAAGACATTTAGCTAACTAGATAAATAGATAGATGTGCTAGCGTGTGGTGATCGTTAGTGATTTTTTCTTTGCAGATGTATATTTTACACCTAATGATCTGAGTAACACTATGTTCAATAAGAGAAATGCTAATGCTAAATGCTAAGAAGAACAGGGGCTGGATTCTCCGAAGCTTCCGCTAGAAAACCAGAACTGCCTCCCAAGCAGGCTAAAGGTTCCCTGTGGTGTAGAATATCAATGTCATGCTTCATTTTCCAGCTTTACATGAACGACATAAGATACGCTTTTATTTAAACGAACTTCTGTTTCTGTTCATTCAGTTTAATCTGCTCAGCGTCTGAGAGCAGCAAACTGGAATGACTAAACCTAACATTCACACAGTTTAGCAAACACGAACTAGAAGTGAAGGTGGAGGAAACAGTCAACAGGAAAAAATCTGTCTTGGTCTATTTTAACAGTTTCAGTGGTGTGCAAAAGTTTGGGCACCCCGGTCAAATTCCATGCTTCTGTTGAATTTCCAAGCGTGAATAAATTAACACATCCTCTACAGAGACTTCTGCACGTTTTAATGCACAGTTACTGTTTATTTGCTGAATTCAACATATTGAGGGGAAAAATAAAACATAAAATGCGGCTTGTGCAAAAGTTATATTCTGTTTTACAATATGTCAAACTCAACAACGAAACACTGTGAGAAATAAAGGTTCTGTTCAGGTACATTTTTCATTCATCAAGATACAAACAGTGTAAATGTTCCCTCAAAGGTGCAACAGTGGTTTTAAGGTCTGATTGTGAAGTTTTTCCGGGTGAAAAGTTCGTATTTGTACCTTTTCATAACCGAATATTTTAAACAGAACAGTAAAATAAAAGCCTGGAGGCGAGACGGGGTGTGTGGAGTCAGTACAGCTTAGAACATATCATTTCAGTGGATTATGGTTCAGTTATGTTCCCTGACTAAAGGTACTGAGATGGACCCTTTAGGGTCCCACCCCAGTGATAATAGGGGTATCTCCCCAGTGACAGTTTAGTACGTTTATTTTGACTTTTGCGTACGACTGTATAAATTTTACAGGTTTACCTCTTCTACAGTCTACGTCTACAGTTGTGTGGAATTTGTAAGAATAGAACTGAGCAAGGTTATGAAAGAAACTTTGTTTGTGTTTGATTTCTGGAAGGTTAGTGACGTCAGGCCTGCTCAGCTCAAAGACAGCAGCTACACGCTTCTCCTGCAGCAGGTGGGAGAGAAAGACAAAGTCAAGTTAAAAAGCCACTCACGTTCGTCTTCGAGGATGGGCTGATTCACAGGATTATTAGATCCACAATGCTTCTCTCTCTCTCTCTCTCTCTTACTATTTCTCTATGACTCTCTATCTCGCTGTATCTTTCTCAGTGACCTTACCCTGTTATCTGTCTCTGATTGTCTCTTTCTCTCCCTCTCTCTATCACCTCCACCAAATCTCTCTGCCTGCTTTCTCCCTCCCTGTCCCACTGTGTGTGTGTGTGGTGGTTGGGGGGTGGGGGTGACCCCTGGACACACAGTGTCCTTCAGGGACAATGCAGTCCATGAACAAAGCACACGCCTCCTCAAGGTGGTAAATATAGACCAGCAGTAAGACCCTGATACCCCCCACCCACACACACATACCGTGATCAATTCAGACCATCCAGATACTGGACAGTGGAGAGACTGCCAATAATGACCCACTGGGTCAGTACAGTGAAGGCCAGTGGAACAGCAGGCCGGTGGGAACTGGGGGTATTCAGAGAAAACAATGTGGCTGGATCTGTCAGACCTTCAGTACAACTGAGTTTGGGATTAAGAAGACTTTACAATGCGTAACTCACAGTGTGTGGGGATGGACAGTGTGCTGACCAGGGGCTGAAAATCCACCAATGTGTCTTAATGCTGCGCGGCCACTTGTGCTTTTTCTCGCCACATTGGATCTCGCTGCTCGCTGCTGGTGGCATTTCTATGTAGTTGAGGAAATAAAGGAATTGTACTGAATGTATCTGAGACAGTGGGATGGCCATTTTTGTCTTAACGTAAGATCTGACAGGTCAGGATAAGATTTTTCACAAATTGGTACAGCATAAACGTAAACACGTAATCAAAGTAATCAAGCTGGTTAGCCAGGCAGCTAACGTTAGCTACCGTTACTGATGTAAAAAAAGGTCAAACAAAACTGAGGCACGATAAACTGAAAGTTAAGTATATTGTGAGAGCACCTTGTGCTGTTTATCAGGGCATCGCCGCTCTACAGTTTCAGTCTCCATTTCCCAAACGCTTTAGTCGAGCATGCTAACGTTATTCTGGAGACGCTGCTCGCTTATTTCCAGTACCGCCGTCTGTTTTCACACATGCCCAGACTGAGAAATATGAAAGAAATCAGAGTAAGAGTTCACATGCATTGAGAAATCTGATTGCTGAGCTAAAATCCAGCCTCTTTATCAGATTTCTTAATTGAATTTATAGACCTTACTCTAATCTAAGAAATCAGAGTGTGTTGTTTACATGACCATTTGAATTCATAGATAACTGCAAAAATCTGATTATGATCAGATTATTGAGAGCATGTAAACACACTCAGGGTTGTCCCTCTCTGAGGAAGATTTCTCAAGTTATGTGTCAGGTTTTAGTCAGTAGCTGAAACTATGCCCTTTTTTTTTAGAAATAGGCAAACATGACACTTCTTTCTCCATTTTTGTCGAGGCCAGTTAGGTCTCCTATCACACAACACTACCAAGCTAGGAGGGTGAAGACTAGTAAACGCTGCCTCTGAGAGGTGTGAAGCTCCTTTAAGGCTTCTAACGTAACATCATGGGACAGCGCAATACATCTGGAAGAGAATGCTCATTGCTAATTCTGGTGTCAGCTAACAGATGCCTATGCTGGCTAACATCACAATGGGGCCATCTTACCCACTGAGAGAGAGAGAGAGAGAGAGAGAGAGAGAGACAGAGAGAGAGTGAGAGAGAGATACTGTTATAATCTATTGGACTTGCATCACCAAGATCAAACTCATAACCTCCTAATGATACTTCTTGTCTTGGGGACCAAACTGCAATGCAATCCAAAAAGCAAAATAATATACAAATAAAAAAGGGTTTTTAAAATGTATTTTATAACATTAGTCCATATTCTGTTACTAAAAGAATTTAAAAATCCAACTTCAAGAGGAAAAATAAGAATATAATATATATATAGAGTAAAAGTATTTTCTTGCTAAGGGTGAGAGGGTGGGGTTAGGGTAGCTTTTGGTGGGCCAAATTGAACAACGTTGGGCAACCCTGGCTTAGATGGTTGAGCCAACTGGAACCCCTTTTTGTGCTTTTTTAAAGATCGAAGGATGTCAAACAATCGTCCATATCAGCTAAATTTGGGAAATTAAATAACAAATAATGAAAACTGTGTATATTTCATTTTTCACTTGACTTTTGCTTTAAAATCTGCGCATATTTAATTTTTCACTGAACTGTCGCTTTAAACACCCATGTTTTACTCTCTCAAATCTCTGTCTCTACAACATTACTCCACCAAACTCCAAAGTCCACGCGCATTCCATCAAACTCAACTCGCGGTTGGACGCTGCTCTCCCAGCGCTTCACACTGAACACCTGATTAATCTCTCTGTTGGACTCTAGCATCGCTCCATTCCCACAATCCTGTTCTCTGGCCATCTCCATTTATAGAGGCTGTTAATCATTTGCTGGCTTGGTAATGGAGCCGGGGCTCCGCACTGTCTCATTAAGCTCAGAGGCTCAGAGATTTGGGTACGGAAGCAGCAGTAGGCCAGTCAAGGCCGAGTCTACCGGCTATGTGAGTTATATGCGTTTACCATCCACACCTGCCTCTGAAATATCAAAGTAAACAATGCGGAGAGGAGGTGCCAGGCCATTCTCGTTCTCATATATCATTTGCCACATTCAGACTAAGAATAACTCAGCTGCTGTTGTCCGAACAAAGCTATATCAGACTGCCTTTATAGGCTCCTGCTGTCACTGTGTAACAATAGACCGTGTTCTCCAACAATACAGCCAGCCACACAGTGGAGAAACAGATAACCAGTTCTAGATTATTTGCAGATTAGAATCCAAATGTGCACCTTACAAACAGAAATATATCAGAATTACACTTGTAATAGCCGAAAATAAAGGGGAATAACACTAATTTATCAAAAATTCCACAGCCATTGTGCATTGTGTTTATGTGAAATGCTCCATTCTAGAGAGTCATACAATGTCTACAATCCCAAATATAGCCATTTTATTAACCGTCCAAAATGAGCAGTGAACCTACACATCTGCTAGTTAGCCTTATAATGCTTACAACCTCTCCATATTTGGTAGGCTCACTGTAAACACGGACAAAGTACACCGATCAGGCATAACATTATGACCAGTTTCTACGCTCATTGTCCATTTTATCAGCTCCACTTACTGTATAGGTGCACTTTGTAGTTCTACAGTTACAGACTGTAGTCCATCTGTTTCTCTGCAATCTTTGTTAGCCCCTTTTTACCCTGTTCTTCAGTGGTCAGGACCCCCATGGACCCTCACAGAGCAGGTACTATTTGGGTGGTGGATCATTCTCAGCACTGCAGTAACACTGATGTGGTGGTGCTGTGTTAGTGTGTGTTGTGCTGGTCTGAGTGGATCAGACACAGCAGTGCTGCTGGAGTTTTTAAACACTGTGTCCACTCACTGTCCACTCTATTAGACGCTCCTACCTTGTCAGTCCACCTTGTAGATTAAAGTCAGAGACGATAGCTCATCTGCTGCTGCACAGTTTGTGTTGGTCATCCTCTAGTCCTTCATCAGTGGTCACAGGACGCTGCCCACAGGACACTGTTGGCTGGATATTTTTGGTTTGGTGGACTATTCTCAGTCCAGCAGTGACACTGAGGTGTTTAAAACTCCAGCAGCACTGGGGGTCCTAATTTTAGGTCACACCTATATAAGCAGGATCCTCACCAATCACAAGGCAAATGTAAGTGGCTCGCCCACACAACGTTAAAGCCTTGGGTTCACTACACGACTTTAAAAGACTGAGCGTCTCACAGGTTTTGTTTTTTTTTGGGTGACTGAAATATTGGGGATCACACACTACTTAACTTTTAAGCTGTTGCTGAACCGAACAAAGCTTGCAAGAACTCACGCGAACTCTCGCAAACTCTTGCAAACTCTCGCGTTCTCCCATTACTAGGAGACCCAAATAAACAAACATGGAGCTACTGCTGCTGTTTTCTATGCCGTTTGCGCTGATACAGTAAAGAAGCAGCAGGTAAACATGTTTAAGAGGCTCATGGATTAAAAAATTTAATCAGTGTGGAATTTTTTAGTTTTAAAGGTGCATAAACTCGATTGAGCCTTAAACTCAGCTCATTAAAAAGCTTCGCTCCACATGCGAGTGACTTTTCACCATTTTTCTTTGTTTACTTGCTGTATTTTCTTCTTTCATGCTCTCAGTTTTCATTGGCTTTTGCATGAATCCATTCACATTGAGTCGCTGACCAGTTTAAAAGTAGATTTCACTCAGAGTCGGGTCGAAAAAATCAAACATGTTTGGTAAACTCAGACTGGTCTGAATCACAATTGGAAGGAAAGAAATCTGAGTCTGCGCCCCTCAAACACGACTCGATTCTCTCTCAACTGTCTACTCTGACTGACCCAAAAATCTGCAGACTAGAGCCGACCAGCTCAGACTCAGCCGGACTGAGAATCGGGGCTAAAATCAGAGTAAAAGTCATGTAGTGTAACCCCAGCTTGACAAAACTGAGTTTCCATTCAAGGTGGATAAACTTACAGAGAGAAAGCTAACCACCAAGCGAAAGCTAACCAAGCAAGCATAACTGGGCTAACAAACTGGCTCATCTCTATGTCGTTCACCTGTCCGTCCATTTATTTTTTCAACCTGTCATACTAGCATTCCCTGGATGCCCAATCAATAAAGTGAATAAGAACATTCTTTAATACAAATCCATATAAAAGCACTAATTTCTTCCCGCTTTATTGTGTTTAGTTCTGTTTCAGTGGTGGAGCAGGCTGGGAGTGTTGGACTGAAAGCTGTCAATCGTGCATGCTTATCAGAATATTAGGCCACGCCCAGAAAGTTCTCGGATAGGTATGATTAGTAATCCGTGTTTTATTATATATGTGCTTTTAGTCTTTTTTTGTCCATCTTTTTTTGTTTGTAAAACTTTGTTGGATTTTAGTATCATACAAACATTTTAAAATAATTTTGTGCTCCATGAGACTTTAAAAATATATATAGGCCAAAATCTTCTTTGAAAACTATTTTAAAACAATGGCTCAGTCATTAGGCAGTGTATTCAAAGCCATTTCATGTAGTAACTTTCTGTGAGGGAGCTTTTAGAGGCGGACGTCTGGTTCCTATCACCACCACTGTGAACAGTTCTGACTCGGTAAGTTTCTCTAGAGCTTATTTCACACCAAACCACTCTGAATGACTTTGTTTACATCTTAACTATTGAATTACACAGAAATAATAAAAAGGGTAGAATTCCTCTTTAAAGCATGTCATTTTTAAACCTCAGTGACCATCTACGTCATTAAAATGCAAAAAACAAATTTTTTTATTTGTGCATGATTGCATCCCGACTAATTATCCGCCCCTCCAGCTGTTTGGGGAGAGAGCGTGTAAGCCAGGACGGGACAGCAGCGTGCAGATATATGCACTCTAATTACAGCAGGGCAGCAGGTAATTGCATCTGCTGACCATTTCTGCCTCTGCTTCAAATGTGTCTGAGACAGGCAGGGCCCAGCTAGCAGAACACAGAAGAGGCTCATGTGGATATGGCTGATTGATCAGTGTTCTTTCATGTGTTGTTACACTGCTAGTAAAGATGTCCACTTGAGCCGAGTGGATATAAGAATATCAGAGTGAGGATCTGGGAATCAGATCTTCTTCTGCTTTTGAAGGACAGAAGCAGATTCTGGTTAATGCTAACACTAAAGCTAGCTGCTTTAGCCTCCAACAGCTGCTCTCACACTCTAAAGGCCACCACAGACCAGACGTGTTGCGCCGCGCAGCATCGTACAGCATCCAAAAATTGGAAACCATTGCAATTAATTGAGGTGCGCACTCCATACTTGGCGACTCCCAAATGCGGGAATCTCGACTGCATAATTTCTGGTAGTGGGGGACTGCGTTCGTGCTCTCCCCCTGACAAGGGGGCAGTTGTGGGCTGGAGGTTGGCCTTGTGACCGGAAGGTCACTGGCTCGAACCCCTAAGCTGACAGTACGTGACTGAGGTGCCCTTGAGCAAGGCACCTAACCCCCAACTGCTCCCTGGGCGCTGTGGATAGGGCTGCCCACCGCTCCGTGCAAGTGTGCTCACTGCCCCCTAGTGTGTGTCTTCACTAGTGTGTATGTGGTGTTTCACTGCACAGATGGGTTAAATTGCAGAGGTGAAATTTCCCTGTTGTGGGACTAATAAGGGTCACTTAATGCTGCCATGCTAGCCTGTTTTACCTCCTAATTTTCAACTTGAAATCAGTGAGATTGTAAGAGGTAGTGAACTTATATACCAATGTCTTCCAATAAAGTGCAGTTATTTTTTACATACACTCTGTTTGAACTCCAGGCATTATGTTTTATTCTTCTACTTAAAAAAATAAGTAAGTAATGTCAAGGTACAAATACGTCCCTTTCCCAGCTCAGGGCAAATGCATTCTTGTTAAAAAATGTCCAAATGACCTTTGGTGAACACCTATGGTTCTTGTAGAAGTCCCTTTAAAGCTGCACTATGTATGTTTTGGGGTTTTGGCGACCTCTCTGGTGGAAATGTGTAATTGCATGCTATGTGCCGAAGAACATGTCATGTGGGCTGTGCTTCAGTCCCCTTCCCTGAATGGATGAATCATATTACTGTGAGAGAATTCATAGAGAACTCAGTCTAAACTTGGTGAAGGACGCGTCTTCAGAGGATGTGAATTATCTAATATTGTCATCATATCTTCATCAGTATAATGTTGATTTTGAGGTCATTTGAGACCTAAACATCGAGCTGGACCTTCTATTTGAGTCTGTGACATTAATACGTAAAGACGTATGACGTGGTGTGACAAACTCCCGATCCAATGCCTCTGACTTTTAATGGTTATTTCAGGATTTACAGGGCGACTCGCAGCAGCAGCACACTCACCATTTTTATTCTCCTCACTCTGTAATGCTACTTCTTTCAGTTTAACAAAAAAGCTTGCATAGTGCAGCTTTAATATGTCATATTTAAGTACGATGTATCGCACAAAGACCTAATAGGACATAAAGCCCTGGGAACATAAATATGTTCTCTCATTTAGTCTGGAATGTCAGCTAACAGGACACACTAAGAAATAAAGCAGAAGAAAAAGAAACCATGTAGAGATAAAAGTCATCCATCGTTCATCATTCATATGATTATTAAAACAATAGTGGCCTAAGAATAGGATTAGTGGCTTTATCCATACAGATGCGTGAATACATTCGGATATAAATGACCCTGTTTCAATGAGACAAATCAGATTTTGTACGCTGTCACAGAATCCATATTTATCAATGTGCATAGACGTCAGTAGCCCAGGCCTGCATGCATTGTTATCCTCCCAAAAAAGAATGTGGGTCAGCCATGTGGAAGACAATGCTGACTCACACGGACACAAAAAGACCCCACTTGTCTTCTCATCGCCGTATGAAATCAGAAACTTCATTAGTGGAAAGCAGATCATAGATTTCAAAGCGACTGAGTCATCCGTCTTATCGGGCAGGACGTGACGCAGAGGGAGAAGGAGAGTGAAATGATGAAGAGCTGCAGGAGATGCAGGAATCGATCCGTTCCCCTCGTTTATTTTGCTAAAATTCTTCAAACGTGCCTTGATAGGCCTTTAATTGCTTCAAGGGATTTCGTTCCTCTCCAGCGTGGTCTTCGTAGGTGCTCGCCTCTGCTGGCTGAATAGGAGATTTTCACTGACTCTCGCCAGTAAAGATCTCTGCTGCAATGCTGTGTTCCTGGTTCTAGAGCTGTGCAGTGGCATCTGCATTCGGCAGATGTTGATAATGAGACTGAAGCACGTTGTTTTGGTTTCAGAGGGACGCTATGAATCTGGGGGAAGTAGAAGTTAGCATAACATTTGGTGCAACGATACCAAAGGGGTGTGTTTTAGAGGTCTGCTGTCTCATTAAGTACGATGGGCCCTGACAAAACATCTAGGTTTTCAAGCATCAGGCTTGGGTCTGACTTCTAATGACGAATGTTTTTGCCGGACCACCTATGGGCCAGCCTAGAAGAGGCAGTTTTGCTTACTGACCGACTGACTGACCAACTTTGTTGAAATGTGCATGTGCGAGGGTTGTAGCTAGCCTTCAGTAGGTAGCAGTAATGCACCCTAAGCTATCCTGTCAATCGTTGTTCACCCAATAGAAGAAGACTCGGGTGCTGGCTTCAGAGCCAGTTTATAAGAAGCCTGGCCACTTCCTATTCCCCAACATTATATCAAAAACAGGACTGCTAAACATCAGAGGGCGCCCGCGAGCAAGTCCTCAATGAGTGAGAGTAAATGAAGCTCAACGGTTAAAAGTGAAAAATTAAAACAGTTTCTCATCTCTCGCCCCGAACTTTCCTTTAATTTTGGAAAAAAGAAGGATGGATTTCACTAAGAAAGCAAAGAAAACTCACCTGTATGTTTCCTTTTTTCTACAGCAAACGGGTTTTGGCCAGCAGGACGTCAGCATTACTGCTACTGAGTGCTGATTGGCTGGCGAGCGGAGCAGCTCATTGGCTGTTCGCGCTCACAGACGTCATGGACGTACATGAGGCGCCGTTTTAAACTCCTATAACTCGAGTTTAAAAGCTCTTTAGCTCTAGTGTTTGAGAAACCCAGAAGACATTGCAGAATGGTAATTCTTCTCTCTGTAAGTTCTCTGCTGGCTTCTCATGTTGCATTGTGTTCGGTAACTCTGTGTTCACACTAGCAAAGCAGTCATTTTCTATTCCGTGATTTAGTGACAAGCAGCAGGCGTGTGGCCTGGCGGTCTGGCAAAACTAGGTTTGCCTAGTCTTGTTTATGTAGTACATTTGTTTTTATTTGAAGTGGGACTGGAACAACGATTCATCATTATCAATAACGTCGACATTAAAAATCGCCAAAAAATCTTTCCATTCTTGGTTTTTCAGTTACATTTCACAAAGTGGCCAACCTAGTGAGTGAATGACTTCAGCTGAAGAGGGCAGCAATTCACTTACAGTGTCATTCTTCTGTAGGCAGACAGCAAAAGAAAAAGTACAGCTATGGTTGAGAGTTAAAAAAGAAGGAAAATATGGGAGCATTTTCTCAAAATGAAGCATAAAGTCACATACAGCACATTCAAGGCCGACTTAGCTTTCCACGGAAGCACGACATTACCTTGACAACACTGGGCTTAATAATTATTCACAAAAATAAGAGATCTACACAGCACAGCTCAAGACAGGCAATAAAATGTGAGGATATTCACTGTGGAGGACCACGAACACGATCCGTTAACAGAGTTAGTAGATCGTCCACCAAGACCTAAACTAAAAGAATCAGCCTTTCCACCAGCGTTTTAGGAACATGAAGGATTTGCTGATCAGCTTAGAAAAAGCTGCTTGAGAAAGTAAAGTTCTTCAAAGGTTCTTTAGTAAAAGCAGTGGTTCTGTTTAGAACCTTGTGTGCTATATAGAAACATTTCATCCTTAAATGTCTTTGCATAGTGAAATGTTTCTTCAGACTGATATAAAATGTGTTGGGTAACACTTTACTGTAGGGTGCTGTTCATAAGGCTACATGATACCTACATAGGCTTGTCATGATAACTGACATAACCCTACATAAATGTTTATAAATGCTTATTCCAACAGGCATCATCTGTCATAAAGACTACTTCAGCTGACTTTGATCAAATCGAGCAAATGTAACCTTTATGGCAAATTACACCTATTGGAGTAAGCATTTATTAACATCTATGTAGGGTTAGGTCAGTCGTCATGACAAGCCTATGTAGGTGTCATAAAGCCTTATGACCAATACCCTACAGTAAAGTGTTACCATGTGTTGTTTGTGGTTTTATATAGTACCTTTTTGAAAAGGGTTCTATATAGCACCAAAAAGAGGTTCTTCTATTACTATAAGCTTCACATCGCAACAATAGCAGAGCACTTTTTCCTATATGCCATACAGAACCATTGTCAAAAAGGCTCTATATGGAACCATATACAACACATTCTACACTAATTCGATGAACCATTTCACCATGCTAAGAACCATTCCCAGTAAGCTAAATTTGTCTGGCTCACTTGTGGGCCACATTCTTGGTTTGTGCTGGCCCAGTATATGGCTGGGTCCTCGGCCCAGACCTGGCCCTTCACACTGTAAAGTGAGTAGCACTAAAGGATATGGCCCAAATCTGGTCCCAGTCTGGTCCAACTACTGTTGGCCCACAATATTCACACCAGAATTTTCCCACAAATTTAGAAACAAGAAAAACAGTATGAAGCTGTCCAGGATCTGGTCCTGTTCCGGCCAGCATGCCTAACATCTACCCGGTAGCCAACCAACACTCACATAGGAAAGCCAGAATCGGCCCTGCTATCTGGGTTTAAGCTTGTCAATGGTTCTATATAAAACTCATGGTTCTAAATAGAACCACTGCCTTTACTAAATAGCCCTTAAAGAACCATCTTTTTTAAGTGTGTATCCAAACAAATGCTAACAAAATAAATATATGAAAATAAAATGGGATGATAAATGTAGGTTTTGTAATATACATGTAATTGTATCCTCTTTATTTTGACTACTGTGTTTTGAGATTATGGCTGAAATATCCGGTTAAGGGACAGAAGTGTCATTTGTTAACGTTTTTAGCGAAGTCAATGAAGTGTGCTTATTTTAAGTTATTGTTTTGTCCCCTTAAATGTCTCTAAAGCGTTCTGAGACAATGTGCAGTGTCCAGCTGTCAGTACAGCTGGTCGAAGGTTAAATTACAGCAGTGCTACAAGCATAAACAGCGCAGAGTTTGTTGACTGTTGTTGATGACTCAGTGAAAAAGCCCAGTTGTTAGCATTGAAATCTCTGTCTAAGAAATGCAACCAGATGGTAAACTGCCAGTTAAACATCACAGTGCACTCCTAACAAACTCGCTTTAACTGGTTTACATGTTAAATTCTCTT